AAAAATGTTGTGATGCCTCAAGGTGATTGATTCATGTTGTGTATGATACCTACACTATTTTTTTGGTGGGTAACAATGAAAAATATAACATTCCTTACCAACTTTCAACACCCCACTGCAATTGATCCCTATTCACCCCTTGTTTTGCCAAGGTAGATTAAAAGCCTCATTCAGACATGGGGGAAGCCTATTCCAGACAACCTTCTTACTCTTAGGTCTTCTAGGTAAGATTCCACCAAACTAGTAGTACACCATACAAAGCTTGCTAACTCAAAATTGGATCACGTTTACTTGAGATAATAAGGGGATAAAGGGCCTTCCAAGGTTGTCTACAACATCTAAAAGGCTCTTTGCAAAGCTCTGCAGTACATTTCATATAAAGACCACCATCAGAGCTTAAATATACCACATAGACATAGCCAAATATTTTGATAGAGAAATCCATAGTGTCATTTGAAAGATCATTAGCCATGTAGAGGTGAAATGAAGCCACCAACCTAAATAGCAATTTGTTTAGAATTCTCTACTTCACGTTTTGTTCTATCCATTACATTTTCCATTTCTGCATAAATACGAAGAACTTTATCTTGCATTTTCTCAATCTCCTTGTGCTTCACCTTCAACTATTCTTCCTTCTCGGAAATAAGGTTTACCAATTCATCAAAAGAGGGCTCCTTTTCATCATCTGAATCAGAAAATGCAGTACATTTAGTTACTCTCCTCCTCTCCTCTTGACAGATTCAAAGGCAGGAGATTTATGTTCTGAACTAGAACCTGTTCCTTCCATTTTCTCTGGTGCTTTAGTATCTTCACTTGTCTTTGTGGCCTCAGCATTTACAGGGGTGTCATTTTCATGCTCATCTCCAGACTAGTTCGGCTCTCTGTTCGGTAATGGAAGATGGCTTGGAGTTCTTCTCGGAATCTCTGTTCGATAACAATTCTCTTCGACTGGATGATTGAAAATGAGGGGGGTATTCTTGTCCAAAAAACTAGGGAGGGGTAAGGAATGGCCATTCCTCCATACGAGGGATTCTCGTTCTGCCTAGAATGTGAATGGAATTCCCATTCCGATCAACCAAACACTTGGAATGGAAATGGGCCATTCCGATTCCAATTCCAAGCTCCTATTCCCTCAAACCAAACAGACCCTAGATATGTAATGTTATATTAATAAAATCAAAATCATATTGGTGATTATCCTTTTATTCTTTGAAACTCTATTCAAGATAAAAACAGAAATTGTTTAGTTCAACAATATGTATTAACGCCAAATGTTTTACCAAGTAGGATGTGTGCCTCAATTTATGACTTTTTATTCTATATTTTTATACTCTCATATGTTTAACAATTGATGAATTGTATATCATCCTAGCAAAATAATCAAAGACTGTGGAGGTTGGGCCTCATTCTATGCATAAACTAGTTTTTGAACTACTGGATGATAAATCCCAAAACATTGATGATGTCTTACTTGGGGGAGTTGAACTGATCAAGCCCATTGAGCTAAGTAAAGGAAAACATATGGATGACTTGCCTATAGTAGAAGAACAACAACAAAGCTTAGATGCAACTCCCACAAGATTATTTTGCGGTTGTTTTTCTTTTTAATGAGGATCATAATTACAACTCCCACAAGATCACATATGTTAAGATCTCATAGAAGGATAACTAAGACACAAGCTATACAAGTAAGATTGGCAGATGAGTCAGGGATAACTCCAAAAGCATCAAGGGAATCGATGGCTAAAGAAGCTTGTGGGCATGAAAATGTTGGATTCACTTTTATGGATTTGAAAATTTACTTGCATACATATAGAACTGGGAAAATGGGAAATGGGGAGGCAGGTGGTGTTTTACAGTATTTTCAAGACTTGCAAGCAAAAAAACCTATTTTTTGTTTTTGAAATTCAATTGGATAAAGCTGAAATAGTCACAAATATGTTATGGACAGATGGCTAAATGATAATAGAATATGATCATTTTGGGGATATTATTTGTTTTGACACAACATATAGAACCAATAATGAAAATCAACCATTTGCACTTTTTGTAGGGGTCTATAAGCAATTGATTATCTTTGGCGTTGCACTGTTATATGATAAGACTATAGAAACATTTGAGTGGTTATTCGAGACTTTTATCAAGACAATGGGAGGGAAAAATGCCAAAGACAATTTTAACCGATGATAATGCAACTATGGAAAAAGCAATTAATTTGGTATTGACAGAATCACATCATCAATTATGTCTTTGGCACATACTCCAAAATGCATCAAAACACCTTAGTGGTTTTTTCCAAAAATTTAAGCCATTCTTAAAGGATTTCAGCAAGTGTGTTTATGATGACGAGGAAGTGGATGATTTTGAAAGTGCATGGGAGAGCATGACCAACAAATATAATCTTCAAGAAGATGAATGGTTGCATAAGTTGTATAATAAATGCCATAAATGGCCGGGCTTTAGTGTTCGGGCGGCAAACATTTTCTGCAGGCATGAGCACGACACAAGGGAGTGAAAGCATGAATAGTTGTTTAAAAAAATATCTCAACATCAAGTATGATTTGTCAAGATTAATTTGGCATTTTGAGATGGTTGTTGCCGATAGATGATATGAAGAGTTGAAAGCTAAATTTGTAGCAATACAGAGAGCATCCCAACATTGCCGGTGCAATTAGATATATTAAATTATTTTGCTTGTGTGAATACTCCGCCTATATTTTTCATGTTTTATGGTGAGGTATTGTAGCAATTGAATTGTAGTATTGATGAAGATCACATGTTGTATGAAACAATAATTGAATATAAAGTGTGGCTAGAAAAAAGAAGCATGTGGTTACTTTTGACTCAAAAAATAATTTGGTTAATTGCAGTTGCAAAAAGTTTGAATTTATTGGCATATTATGCGGCCATGCATTGAGGTTACTTAGTCATGTAAACACCAAGATGATCGTCCCCTCCCATTATATATTAAGAAGATGGACCATTGATGCAAAAGTGAAGGCTATTGAATCATGTTGCTCCACTACGGCTCTTGATGAAAGCACAAAAATAGCTAAGCGTTTCAAGAGATGAATCGTTTGTTTAACCTAATAGCATTTAGAGCTGCACTTTTTGAAGATGCTTACAAAATTGCTCTGGAGTTTAGGAAAGGCCTTTTGAAAGAAGTTGTTGAATGTTTAAAACAAACAAACTTTGAAAAGTCATATGTTGCATCAAAGGCCATTAAACAAGAGATTAATGAAACCATTAGCTCACAACCCTCTCCCACAAACCATGATGATTTATGTACTGATGTTGGTAGGAATGTTGCTAGTGTCATTGAAGAAGTACCACCCATTGCAGTAAAAGGGATCAAACACAAGGCGACTAGTGTGCACTCTTCAAAGAGACAAAGAAGTGCAGTAGAAAAAGGCTATATCAAAGATGAACAAACGAAAGAACATTGTTGATGAATGTGCTACCCAGCAACCTCCATGGGTTTTGTTTTAAATTTGTACATTTGGATTTGGTATTATTATTTTTTGGTTACTAATGAATAAATTGTTATGATTTAGGAAGGCAGAGTTGGCAATCTAAATGATGCCACTAAAATTAAGGTGCAAAGGACAGATGCACAAAATTTTGAACTAACCTCTTCAAGGAATGTTGAGCAATATCAAGCAAGGCATTATACCATGAGAATGCCATACTAATGATGCCTACTTCCTGTATGAACTAACCTCTTTGTGGTTGTCATTTTTAGACTAACTTGCATGTTTGTTCAAGTTGTTTCTCAAATGAAGGGGACTTTTAAAAAATTTTCGGAATTCTTTGAAAGTCTATTAGGGTAGATGTTTTAAGATCCACGGACACTTGTAATTCATGAAATAAGGCTTTATGACCTTTAATTTCCTATACAAGATATAGGAATTTTGGTGTATAACACCAAGGAAGCATGACTTTTTGGTTATTGGTTTAAACCCAGAATAGATGACTGATGGCCAACAAATATTTTTCACTCTATCAGGTACGGAACTACCCCTAGAACAATGCGTATATATAATAGCTTCTAGAGGTGAGAAGGAAAATCACCAAGAGCAGGCTTTTGGTTTGGATGAATGACTTGGGTTTGAATTTTGAAATGCTATAAAGCCAGAATATGTGAAGTGGAATTCAAGTAGATGAAAGGCTTTCTTATTTTAAGTAGAAAACATAAACAATCATAATATTGACCCATTTTGTTGCTAAGAGCATACTTGGTCCGTGGTGTTTCCGTCGGATGTGTAAGATTTGCAACAAGAACGGAGAGAGAGAGAGAGACGGTGGTGAAAGTTGACGATTACCGGTGAAGGCTACTAAAGTGGACCAGCAGAGAGGGGTAGAGGGTGGAGCCGTGGAGGCGGGAGAAAAAACAGGGAGAGGAAAGAGAGGATTAGGGTATTAAAGACAGAAAAAAAGACATAAAAGAAAAGAAAACACAAATGAAAAAGGCTTGAAACACACCCGTAAGCCTCCTTTAGAGTGATTTGCACGTGGGAATGACCTTAATGTGTTAGAACTGACGCCTACCGGGGGTGTTCAACTAATTCAAACTCATTGTGAGTGGTAGATCCATATTCTTTTCTACGCTCATTTGAGGGGTGGCCACGAGCTAAGTTATTCGAGCTTGGCTGGTAAGGTTCGCAAGCTTAATATAATAAATATATAATAAATAATTGTTTATATATAATATTTTTTATTTTTTATGTATAATAATAAATGATTTTTATAATTCTTAATTTTTTATATATAAAATAATATATATATATATATATATATAATTTTTATTTAAAAAAAAAATTGACTTACAATCGAACTCGAACTTATAAATTCTGAGCCAAACATAATTTCAGCGAATCGAAATCGAATAGCTAAGTATTCGACTCGACTCGAATCGAATCGAATCCACTCGTGTCATTTCTCTCAACCATCCGAAGAGTGGAAGGTTATTTTCGTCATTTGAAATGTTACGAGGAGTAGGGTTTGATGGTTGCATAAATGTCATAACGTTTAATCTGAAATCGTTTCGTGGCCACTGGAGAAACCCTAGCCCTAAAGGAGCTGCGAGTCTTTTTCCATCTTTCTCCGGTACATTCATCTCCAACGTATTCAAGTATTGTTCAGAAATCTCTTGTTATTTTTTTTAATCTATCTGGTTAAGATCTTGGATTTTTTCTCAGAGAAATGGCGAAGTCGAAGAATCACACAGCTCACAATCAGTCATACAAGGCCCACAAGAATGGGATCAAGAAGCCCAGGAGGCACAGAAAAACTTCCACYAAGGGGGTAGAGTCTTTATTTCGTTCTTATTTCCATTTCTTGTCATCTGGTCCCGACTATTTCCGAGTTTTCATTTGATAGGTTCCATGAATTTCATGGTTTAGCAACTTCTCGGTTTTCTTTGGCCAATGATTACAGTCTTTATTTCGGAACAGATGGATCCGAAGTTTCTGAGGAACCAGAGGTACGCAAGGAAGCACAACAATAAGAACGGCGGATCAGGGAGCGAAGGGGAAGAGTAAGCATAGAGTCGTGAAGCTATGCCGGTCACTTCAATTAGGGTTTCTTTAGTTCATCTAGGTTTTTATTTCTTCTTTCTTATCCTTATCCTGGAAAGCCAATTTCATGGCGTTAGACTGATTGCATTATACGCCTCTCCAGAAGACGGATAGATCAATTTTTGTTATTAAATATGCGTTTTACTTGCAAGCAGCATTGATGCATTGACATTGTTTAATTATGGTTTTATCTTAATCTTTAAATTTGGATATTCATTTTATGCGAAGATGTTCTATTAGTTTATCAGAGCATAACTGAAATCTAGATTCTAGACACTGCATTTACCGTTCCATCGAGCGATTAATCGGAAGTAATCCTTTCGGTCCCATTACACAAATTAGATCCACCTACTTTTAGTTTTAACTTATCTTTCAGGGTTCAACTCCATTGTAGTCGTTTTTTGCTGGTTCTGTTCTTGAAGTAATCATGGTTATCATATTTGGTGGGTGACCCATATAAGCATAATTTTGCAGTTGCTTTGATATGATTTGCCATTCCCTTTTGAATAATTTTGAGGGCAAGTTCATCGTGAGGGAGGGGGGGGGGATGAGGGCCGTAGCCCGTAGCCTGTAGGATATGTTATGTTGATCCTGGTCAAATACCTGTTGATCGAAGTAGGAGCTGATGGATTGGGCCTTCTTGGATTTTTTTTTTAATTTTTAATTATCAATTTTCTGCTTAAAGTTTCCCTACAAATGTGTACAGTTCAAATACATATAAAACGATGCAAAATAAAAGGTTTTGTACTTTTTTTTATATAATTTGAAGGTTTAACTTGAATAACATTAGGCTAGATTAGTGTTTCGATTATCACCAAAAAATTAGATTAGAGTTTCGATGAATATCAAGTTTGAAGGACAATTAGTTTTTGCAAAAATTATGGTTTCTCCTATCTCACATTTTTTTTTTTTAAATTTAGTATGCAAAACCTCCACTTGTGATGCAAAATTTGTGAAGTGCGAAAATCAATAAATTGTCTTTAATTTTTTTAAATTATTTTAACCCAAATTTAAATGACTAAGAAAATAAAGTTGAATCAAGCAAGGTGATCCATGTCATCATGCCTCTCTCTTTGCTCCAAACCCCCTTCTTAATTTCTTTTTTTTTATTTTTTATTTTTAATTTTACATAATTACCCATTAAACCAATAATGAAATAACATAGGCTTAATTATTTCTAACAACCACAAAAGAAGAGGGTTTTGATTTTCTAATGTTTAGCTAAGTAGCACCACCTTTTCATAAATTGTCTTTAATTTCTATTTATCTTCATAGATAAATCATCCAACTCTTATTTATCTCTTAAATTATCTCTAATTTAATTGACACATTCTTTCCAAAACTATCTTTAATTCCTATTTATCTCTTCCCTCACTTTTTATCTGCATTTATCTAAAGAAAGTTTCAATTAAAAATTATTTAAATATTATAATTATAGTAGATTTAATAATATTCATATTATTAATAATTCTATATTTTCTTGAAATTCACCATGAAATTATATAGTAATAATATAAATTATAATTTTACAAACTAGTCAATTTAAATTTTATTCAAATAATAAAAATTTAACATTAAAAAATAATACATTATTTAAATATTTTAGTAACTAAATATCTTAAATAACAAAACATTAAAAATATCTAAATTACTATGTAACAAAATATTTAATACTAGTGAGGACTCGTGTGATGCACACGCTTTGTTAAGTGAAAGTTAAACAATAGAAATACATTGGAGTATATAATTGTTTTATTTTTTTAACTTTTAATAATTAATCCGATTGAACTCAACTCGAGTTGGTTGGTTTTCTAGTAATTTTAATCAGTTTTGGTTTAGCAATTTTTCAACTTGACCAAGTTAGGGTAGTTTTAATTTGGCCATTAGTAAACTAACCAAAACTGAATCGACCTGATCATAGATATATATTAGTATTTTATATTTTAAATATAATTTTCTTATTATGGAAAAGTGAGAAATTTTTCATATTTCTTAGTCTAAAATATTTTATATCAAAATTTTAATTTTTTAATAATATCACTATAATTTATTAAATTTAAATTTAAATCTTTTGAGCAAACAAACTAAACTGAAAATATACCCAAATTGATACAATCCTAGTTAGTAGGTTTTCACTAATGGTCAATCATTTTTTGTGACAAACTCCCAACCTAACCAGGGCAATTTTGTTAGCGAAACAACCTTGCAACTGAGTTGAACCAATCTTTGAGCACTCCTAATTTTAGCTAAATTAATAGTCTAATCTCTAATAAATAACAATAGTTTAATCTCTTATAATTATTGAAAAGTTATATAAAAAATACACAATTGTTGAAAATAAATTTATAACAAAAATACAACATATATCTAACAAAAATACAATAATTACAAAAATATAATAAATACTAAAAATATATTAAATTAGTTAATAAATAGTGTAATCTCAAGTAATAGTTTAATCTCTAATAAATATTAAATAATAAATTATAAAAAATACATTAAATATGATAAATTAAATTTCAAAAGTTAAATAATAGTTGTTTAATCTCCAATAATTATTGACAATTTATGGTTAAATAATAAAATAAAAATAGATTTATAATAATTATTGAAAACATATTTATAAAAAATACAGTAAATAATTACTGAAATTAAAATAACTATTAATTTTAGTATATCTATTTATATATAATGGTTGTATACTATTATTTTAAAATTATTACTAATAAATATTATTTTTTGAAAGTTCTTTTCTATAATTATTAATTGATATAAGTAAATTAGTTATTTACAATATTATTTAGTTATTTAAACTTTTAAAAGATTAATTAGTTATTGAATTGAATAATTCATAAAATTATAATTAGTATTATTATTGCATAAATCATCATTAATTTTGTAAAATATTAAATTATTCTTAATATGAATATTATGAAATGTATTATAATTATTTTTCTACTTTTTAAATTTATTACATAATTTTGTTATTTTAACTATTTAAAATTTAGTCATCTTATATTTCGTTAATTAAATATTTAAATAATATGTAAAATATTTAATTTTTTCATTATTTGAATTTTATTTATTTTATTGTTATTATGCAATATTAAATATGTTGTTATATAATTATTTAGCTATTTCTAATGTTTTGTTAGTTAAGATATTTAGTTATTGAAATATTTAAATAATATTTTATTTTTTAATGTGAAATTTGTATTATTTGAATAACATCTAAGTTGAATAAATCATAAAATTATAATTTATATTATTACTATATAATTTTATGATGAATTTTGTAAAAATATAGAATTATTAATAACATGAATATTTTTAAATTTATTATAATTAATTTTTTTGAATAAATATTTTAAAGATAGTATATAATTTCGTTATAATATTTAAATAATTTTATTTTTTTTAATTGAAACTTTTTTTAGATGGATGGATAAAAGGGGTAAGGGGTGGGGGATAAATTGGAATTAGATATAGTTTAAGAAGATCGCGTTCTGTGCACCTGGACAAGTGCACCCTCGAATAATTCGTGGCGAACACGTCATTTCATTCGTGTTAATCGCGAATTAACAGGAATTTTCTTCATTACTAATCGTTCGGCTGGTTGAACCGGCCATTTTTTACTCTCCTTCCCATTTTTAACTCAGAAGCGACATCCTCTCCCCTGAGCTCCAACAGTAGCTACTCGTCCTTCTCATGCCCGATCGTACCGGTACAACCTCCTCCCTTTCTATCTCCACAGACGTATCTCTACTCTTCGTCGTTGATGATCTCTCCTCCTGTTGATGATCGCAGCAAGTACACTAGTTATCGCTTCTGTCATTCTCCGCCTGCTCCTCCTCTGCTATATCCATATGAACGTTGTTGTTCTTGGGGAACAGTTGCGTGGAGCGGCAGAGGGAACACGACCCATGAGCCGACAGCCAAATGTCTATGCACTGTTGATCAATACACGTGCCCGCAGTTGACCGGCTCCTTGGCATTCCCATCGTAGGCGAACACCGGCAGAGACTTACGGTATTTGGGTTGAGACCACGGGAGCAGGACACCGACGAGGCTGACCCCGCTCTGCGCTGCTGGTGAGAGTTTGAGGGCGTTCTCTTCAGCGAAGCTACAAATATAGATGGAGAAGAAACCCATGAAGAAGAAGGAGCACCACGACGATTAAGGCCATGGAAGAATCAAAGGTGGAGATGGGTTGTAGGGGCCTTCTAGTAGGAGTAGTAGTAGTAGAGGAGTTATTTGCAGGGGTTAGAGTTGGGACTGAGGAGTAGCCATCTCGAGGCAGAGAGGGTGAGTGGCTGGTTCCCGAAGGCGCATCGTTGTTGAGCAACTTACGAATGTGGGGCTTCATGGATGGATGAGTGGATTGTTGGTGAGATTGGAAAGCGCGGTTTGTAGAGTTTGAGGGAGTGGGAAGAATTGAGGAAACGAGAGGCAACGTGAACAGAGGATCTTCAGATCTTGGCTTTATATAATTTAAGTCTGGACTTTAGAGAGAGAGAGAGAGAGGTGCGACTGTTGTGGATGGAGATTGGATAAGAGAGAGAGAGAGAGAGGAGACAAACGGACAAATTGACGATGAATCTTTGATTTGGAGTGGATCTGAATGGGTTTTAGGGGAGAATGGCCCACAAAATAGAGAGAGACAGAGACATGATTGAGGGGCATATGTTGTTATGCGTAAACAAAAATTTGAGAGGAACCGCCTCCAATTTTTGGGTTTGGCTGGTTCAGCGCTCCACTTCCCTACTGTGGAACTGGAACTAGAACTTAGCTTATGCATTCAGGACGCCGGTGGAACTGGAGAGGCGTTGCTAGTGAACCGCACAGGTGATGTTTGGCTTCGTGGTCCCAGCGTTATGAAAGGTAAAAGGCAAAAAGGATGAGATCTCAGACCCATCCACATCCGTCGCCAATGGCTTTTACGTTCAGTGAGATCGCCAGTCACAGGTGGATGCTTCTAGGTTAGGGGTTGGCGGAGGAAAGTATGGGAGGAAGAAAAATGTAAGGTGTGTTTTAAGTTTTTTGTCGCGAACTCTACTAAATTAGAGATAATTTAAGGGATAAATAGAAGTTATACACGATTTAGGAGATAAATAGGAATTAGAGATAATTTAGGAGATACATAGGAGTTGAGAGAATTTAGGAGAAAGCGGGGGGAAAGTGGTTCTACTTGGCTAAACATTAGAAAAGCAAATCCCTTTTTCTTTAT